CAACCACATATGCACATATCATATGTTTAAAGCTAAGTAAATTAAAGATAAAATTCATGTGTGTATATGTGCATGCAAATGATACACAAGAAAGGCTTTCTGTCTTCATTTGAGGCCCTTTTTTTCTACCCCCTCTCCTCCTTTCCCCTCCCTTGTCTTCCCTCCCCTCCCCTCCCTGTCCCTTTTCTCTCCACTACTACTGTTCCGTTCCTTCTTTTCCTCCCTTTACCTTCTTTAATTCAAACTCCCAGAGACTCATTTATAGCTGGGAATGAACACAGTCATGTGTCAGATGAGTGGAAGAAAGGCAAAAGACGTGGTTTGCATTAGTGAGTTTGGACCTGGCAGAGTGAATGTGGACAGTTGGCCACATATCCCATAGAAATAAGGTGGTCAGATATGGATTTCAGGATTGTGTATTTGTGTGTATGTGCATATTTTTTTGTATGAACTCAGAGGCCTCATCTATAATATAAAAACTGTCTACAAAGGACATGACCACAACAATCCTTTCTAGGCAATATGTAACTTATTTTTTTCCACCTGTAGTTACAATTTTCATTAATTATCTTGTAGACCTTTATGGACATTCAGGGAAATCAAGGCTGTTTGACTTTAATAACTCCTCTGGAATTAATATATTTCACTGTGACGTGTTCCATAACTCTTCAATTCTATATATGGAGCCATTTGAAGAATATGAAAATGTGTACAACTAAGATATATTAAGTAGCATGCATTTATGAAGAGTAACTTCTAAATTACTGTTAACATCTACATTGTATTAAATTATTTCAGAAACCGATTACTTTAGAATTACATTTGTGGGGCTTATTGTGTGATGCAGTAGCTTAACATTCCACATGAATCACTGGCATTCCATTTCAGAGTACTGCTTGGTGTCAGGATTGCTCTGCTTCTCATCAGGCTGCTTGCCATGTGCTTGGGAAGACAGAGAACGCTGACCCAAGTACTTGGCCCTTGGAGCTCACACAAGGAAGCCACATACACTGTTTGCCCCTGCTCAGTGGCTGGGCCCTTTGGAGAATTTATCATGAAGCAAACAATCTTTTTCTTTTTCCCTTCTTCTCTATCACTCTGCCTCTCAAATAAATAAAATAAATTTGAAAAAATGAAATTTAATTTTTGAACAGTGAATCTAAACTAAGTTTACACTTTGGACTTCTCAAAATTTTCTCTCAAGTCCCAAATTTGCAGTGATGGAATCAAGCAGAAAAAATTAAAATAGAATTGGAAATAAAAGTTGCATGTCAGTCATTCTCTGATAATAGATTTTGCGAATTATGTTCTTAGTTTGTAACAATTAACAATTTATTTTTCACTATTTCCTTCTATTTTGTTATATTACTAGTTACTCCAGCACTCATCTGGTTCAAAATGACTTGTATAAAATAGAAATCAGTTCTATTAATCTTTTTAGGTATTATGGAATTTATGCTATCAATCTTAACTTTCAGCAATTACTTTGAATTTGAAAACAATTTGAATTAACATTCATCTACCTGACTCTATATCTTTATATGTTTTTGGTTCAGGAAATGATTATGGTTCTTTATTCCCTTTGGAGTTAGGGAATTTATACAGCTAAAGGAAATAACTTAATAATCACTATAGTACTATATTACTGGTGATTTACTATTGTAAAAGTTACTTACTGACTTATTTGAAAGACAGAGAGGGAGGGAGGGAGAAAGGAAGAGACAGAGAGTGTAAAAGAGAGAGAGGGAGAAAATGAGAGCCAGGATCTCCATTCTGACGCTCACGTGGATGCCTGGGGACCAAGAAATGCTGCCATTGTATACTTTTCTCCAGGTGCATATGCAGAAAGCTGAGTCTGAAGTCGAGGCTAGATTTGATTCTATGCACTCAGAATGGAGAGAGAGGTGTCCAATCCATGGGTTAGAGGTGCTGTGCCACAATGCCAGGACTGGGTTACTTCCATCCTAATTTTAAATATTATATGATGAATGAGATTAAGTCTTGCAATCTCAAAATATTATGCTCGCAATGAAAAATATCTGTGTGGGATATGGTTATTGATAGCTAAGTAAGACAGTATCAAACTGGAATTCTTGTGTTATCAATTACAAACTCAGGTTAAAGATCACAGTTTACTTGTGTAAAGGCACACACAAAACTCCTTTTTCGTTTGTATCTTTTCCTTTCATATCACTGCATGTATCACAATTCTCTGAGCATGACTTCTCTCAAACTGTTTACACAAGACACTTAAATCTAATACAAGATTTCTTTCTTTCTTTTTTTGTTTTCTTTGCTGCAGCCAAATTCCAGATTTATATCAGAGTTAGAAGATCCTAGGTTAGGGTCATGTAAAATGTTAGGGTAGGATGTGCCTGCTTCTTACAATATATTCAATAAATGTATGTGGGATTTTACTGAGACTGATAAAGTAACTCAGCTCTAGTCATGAGCACAGAGATTCCATGTAAATTTTAATACTTCGAGCACCTTCTTTCAAAACTCCACCCTTGACACTTGACCTGAGCCCAACCTGTCTAATTCCAGTGATTTAAAGGCTCTGCAACCTTTGTACAGAATGCAAGAAATAAACAAAAAAAATGAGATAGCTGAACATTTTGGTTATGGAAACATTTGATGTTCTAACAAAGGAAGGACTTGAACGATGAAATTGTGTATATGTTGTATCTCAGTCATTAAAGAAAGGATAGATTACATAGCATCACTGTAAAATAAAGGTCAGTGGATGCACAGTGCTGATCACTTTTTTGAGGACTTTCAAAGAAATTAAATTGCTACTTTTCTTGTAGTGTCATTTCACAGAAAGACCCAGATAAGATACAAAGCCCTCAAGGACTGGTACATAGCCAGCTTTTGTGTATATAAAAGAAACATTTAAGATCAGAGCATACATGGTGTTGGTGTGGAACAGATTCATGCATAGTTAAGTCTACCTGTGTATTAACAAATCACTTTACTAAAAATAAAGTACTTCTGCTGGCAGTCTCCTGATAGTCTGCCTGTTTCTAGGCCACTTGTGCTCATGCATTGTGGCGTGATTAGGGAATATAAAATTTGATAGCTTATAATCAAATGTTTTAGAACAAGACAGAATATAGATAAAATACAGGGAAATGAAGTTAAATTTAATATTGATATCCAAAATGTTTGAGAGAAAATAATTTTAAAATAAATGGGAAATTGAAGTTTTAGAGAATTATCTGCCATTAATGCAAGAAAAGCAGAGATTAGGAATAATCATGAAAATAATGTAAATTCTTGTTTCTAGTTAGCAACTTCAGAATACCACCTTGTGTTTATATAGCACCTGTTCATTATTAGATGACAGTGACTTGGGGTTTGTGTTTTTATTAATTTTTGCTTGTCCCAATAATTAATACATGCCATACTAGAGTGTAGCTGGCAATAGGTTGGTCTTGTCCATAGCTTACTAGTTTAAATAGTTTTGGAAAGACACTTGAAAAAGTTCCAAAGAGAGCTTTTTTTGTCTTGGCTTGGAAATGCCCAGCTTTGTCTCATGCTGGTTGCTAGAACTGCTGCTTTTATTTTTGTACCTTCAAGTATGAATTTTTTGTCTTTTTTAAATTAAAAAAAATAATCTTCTTCTTCTATTTTTCTACTGTTTATGATCTGCAGAACAAAGCTAGTCTCATTAGATTTTCTTCTACATAAACAATATCTCTGAATTTCATCACAAATAGTCTCTCTTATTAACTAACTCTGTAGTTGAGACCATTTGTTTCAATTGCTTGCTGCCACAATAAACCACCTCAAATTCGAAACCCTTCATTCTGTTTTGTCACAAAGAATGTGTTACTAAGTCACATGTCCAAGTATTTTTAGTCTCATTTATTCCACTTGACAAACCAATACATTTCCTGGAATTTCGAGAGCAAAATTTTGTGCTTGAATTAAAATTTTGATAGACAGGCTGGTATTTGAATTTGTTTATTCGATTAGCAATTCATAAAACTGCTTTTAATATTGTTGGAATTCTTCAAAGTCCTGTTTAGTTTCCTAAATGCCACCTCTGATTTCTAAGCCAGTAGTTTATCACTGTTTTTAATATAAAGTTTAGCTGTTTATTTATATGTCATCATTACACATCACAGCTAAGTAAGTATTTTTGTAATTTGCTGATGTCTTTTAGCCTGATTCCATTTTGTTTAGGTGTAATTTTATAATTAGTTGAATAAGATTTAGATGAATTTATACTGAAAAGGTGATACCTTATGAAAATAATGTTTATAAGATGTGGGTTTTAAAATTGTGTCTTAAATTCAAAGAAGTTATCACTATCTTTTAAAATTCATAAAAGAGAACTAAACAATTGTAATCTATTTATTAGGATTTTGAAAAATGATTAAATATCACTATAAATGTTTTGTTTTTATCATGTGAATTTTTCTATACCTAGCATAATCTAGTTTCTTCATTCCTATATTTTAGTCTCTATTGATTTGTTGCCTTCTGGAATGTTAGAAAAATGTTTTGGTTGGCAATAATTCCATAAATATTGTAGATGTTAGTCGACCTTTTCTAGTTTTCATTATCTGTAAGAACTGCCTACTTATTTGCTATGTGAAGAAAAAAGTAATCTGGTCTGCAGTGAATTAACATGCAGGGATTTATGTCAAACAGTAGCACATGTACACTCAGTTCCTCAGTTTGTGCTAACAGCCATTATTGGACCAGACAATTCTCCAAAGCTTGTGAGTTAGGGAATGGTAATTATAGCAAGTTGTATATTATAAATAATGCATGTATGTTCTGCAGGAGCTATGTGGGATTTTGGCCCATTTGCTTAGAACATAGCTGCATAATGATTTGTTATGATTTTGTTGCAGATGATTGATAGTGCAGAGTGTTGGCAATGATAAAAATTACTGTTGGGCTGCCTTTAAAATTTCAGTACAAGTGGTGATTTCTTCTCTTTCTCTCTCTCTCTTTTTATTTTTTTTTTCTGTGTGCTTGTCTAGTCTCGACAGACACCTGAGGGTGAGTTCCTTCCCCTTGACCAACTTGAACTGGACGTAGGGTTTAGTACAGGGGCAGATCAACTTTTTCTTGTGTCCCCCCTCACAATTTGCCACGTGATTGATGCCAAAAGCCCCTTTTATGACTTATCTCAGCGAAGCATGCAAACTGAACAGTTCGAGATTGTCGTCATCCTAGAAGGCATTGTGGAAACAACTGGTAAGTAAACATACAGATGTGTCATCCTTTCTTTATTGTTTAATGATTGTTGTTATATGTGTAATACCTGGAATAGACTGGGCTAATTCATTATTCACAATTTGAAATTAATAACTTATCTCTTTACAACATGAAATTGATACTACTATGAAAATTAAGGTTTACTGTTTTGATGGTTATATACTTGAAACTAATTCAAAAATGCTCATCGTGAAGAAAAGAAAAAGAAAACGGAGAAGATTGGTAGAAATGATTGGGATGTTGTGTTTTAGAATTGAAGTTGGATTCTTTTATAACCATGTTTTTTATTTTAATATTTGTGGTTAACAAATTCACAGTAATTAGTGAGCAGCTAGAACTCAGCATGCATGTTCTTGCCGTGGGGATGGTGACTTGGGTGATAGTAATACAGCTTTGATATCTACTATATGCAACCTGAGTGGAAAATTCCAAATGTGTCTCCATGTAAGTGTACACACGAAAGCAGCATTTTCATTTCAAAGTGGGTCAGTAGATTTCTCCAGTTGAATCCTGAAAAACATTTTCTTTAAAAAGAAAGATTTTGCCTAGTTTTATGCTTTAGTATGAATGTATATGATAGGATTTTCTAAGATAATGTAACATTGATGTGCCACAATGCCTTCTTTTTATTTGCTACTTCTTGAGGAATGATAAGCTGGCAAAAGAAAAAAGGAAATAACAGTTATGAGTCTATTATTTGGGGCTTAAAATTCTCTAGTTAGTTTGGTCCCTGCTATGTGCTTCAGACTAATAATGACATTTCTAAATCATTATACGTATTTTTATGAAAATACCTGAAAAAGTTCATGGAAAATTGAGTAAAAGACAACTTTCTTTTGTTGTAAAAATGTTTGAAATGCATGCATAATATTTAGGCGTATATTTCCATGAACTTTTGAAGGTTCCTCATGCATATACCTAAACATATATGTACGCCTTGAATATTTCAACTTCTATAAGAAATGAGAAAGCATGAAATATATAACTCATTTTTCTACCATTTTCATGTTAATCTTAAAATGCTAGTTGTGTAAATTGTAGCCATATTGAAACTGATACTGTCCACAACAGATAAATCTAAGCTTTACACTAAAGTAGAAGATGTTAAATTTGTAATAGTCAGTTTTGTCCATGGATCAGGTGAAACAAGCCATTGCCATTTTTGTCCCCATATCAAATAATGCCTACTTGAAATTTAGGCAAGATATTTAATGTTTATAAGTTTGAGTTCCTTCTCTTTAATGTCAGAATGACATAGCCAACTCCCTGCATATACTTCTGGTATTGCTATCATTTTGTTATTTTGTTGTTAGTACTTCAACTTAAAAATTAACATTTTAATAAGAACAATTGAAGATTCAGCTTTTTAGCCCATATCTGAAATCTGGCTTGTGTTATTTTATGATGTAACTCCCCTGTGCAATTTTCAACCTAGGTTAAAAATAATGTCATAATGTTATTTTTAAATACAATTTATGATAAAGAATAGAGCCACATTCAAGGAGTATTGGTACAATAAATCTTAAAATAGGAATTTTAGTGAATTATTAAGTTCAGAAGCAGATCTTGTCATTTTAATTAACTTCTTATTACATATAGTACTTTCTTTTTCTTTCACATACCTACTCATAGTAAATTGCTTACTATCATTCTAAGCACAGACATGAGTAAAGTTTTTGATAGTTTTAAACACATTTTGTTAGATCGATCTACCTTTATGCTTACCTACGCATCTGTTTATCCTTCCACCCACCCACATTTTTTTTTTCTGCTTTGCCTTTAAAGCTGTTTGTATTTGTTTTTAAAGAAGGAAAACCATTTTCTTCATCATTGCAAGGATGGACTACTTCTGTAGCTGTTTTTGTATGTGTTTCTTGACCTTGAGACACTTGAGGAATTTGGCACAGCTATTTTAGAATGTCTCTAAATTTGAATAGGCCTGAGATTTAAGTATTCATTAATCTTAAGAGTTTTATCTTCTAAATGGGCATCCTAAAGACATTGAAGTAGGTTTTTTTTTTTTTTTTCAGTTTTAACGTCCTACATGAAAGGTTACAGAAACTTTTCTAACATAAATTATTCTTCAGAATTAGAGGTTTCATTCTAAAATGTCATCCCTCACTCCCACTTTTTAAAAGTAAGGAACAGAGAGAATACTTTCCATGGAAAATGTGAAAACTTGGCGGGGGCCTGGGTTTCGTATTTACTGATTGCCTTTTATGGAGAAGAGATTAAAGTCCATTTCCTGTTACTCTCTTAATGAAGCCTGTTCTCCAAATCTAATATAGTAAGACAAATAACAAAAATATCACACATAATTTATATAGTGGAAAATGTATCTGACATTATGTTTGTGTGTATGCTTTCACTAATTAAATCTCACACTATTCCAATTCTGCAAAATCTGTCTGCATTTCCAGATAGCCTGGTAAAAATAGCCTAAACACTTAAAATTTTGTTGAGATTCATTCAAACTCATCATTAACAAAAAAAAAAAAAGAAAGAAAAAAAACTCATCATTAACGGTGTTTCCTCTTTTATCTCTATATCCACAATGAATTTCGCTTTCTCATGATATGTATGCATTGTCTATGGTAAGGCAATTGCTAAAACAATTGGACATTGTTTTAAGGCAGCAAGAGTATCATCCTTTCCTTTCATGTTCTTTGGTACCAAACCTTGTGAATTAACTTTTGCTGGATATGAACTCCTATCATTGTAGCAGTTAAGTACGATTAGTATTCAGGTATATGACAATTATTTATTGGGTGTATACTGTGTGCTTGGAAGTATTTGGATACTAAAAAGATGGTGAAATCCTGGAGAGCTATATTCCATCTAGAGGCAATAGATCATGATACGTAAAAAATTAACCAGATGTATCAAGTATAAGCAACATAGCACGGTGATGGAGGACCTTACAAGCTACTGCAGTTTGACAGTAAGGGAAGTCCTGTCTAAAATGACAAAACTTGGCTATGTGGAAGACCATCCCGGGGCAGTTTGGGAGAGCGGGTAGCATGCATTGTGGAGCATCTGGCAACAAGGATCCATGGTTGCCAATGAACTTGATTTATTGGGGGAACCAAAAGAAGGCAGAGGTGGCAACAGCAGAGTGGACAATGTGGAGGGTGGGGTAACAATTTATAGAACTGGAGGAGGCACATTCTCTGCACTATAATGATTCCACTGAATTTTCATTGTGGAGGTTTCATTAGTAAGCATAACCTGTATGGGTCATAATTTAGGAACCTCCAACTAGGTACAACAAAATATTTATTTTTTTAATGGATAGCATGTAGTTTATTTAAGCATTTAATTGATGTCCTGTAAATGTGTACAATTTTTAAGCAGCTCCCAGTTTCATGTTCCCTCTGTTGTCCTCCCCTCTCCTACACACCCAATTGCTCACTTCTCAGCAGTCCTTTGGTAAGTCTTCCGATCTCATTTATTTCTTGCTTCTTCCCATTTCTGTGATCCCAGCAGGAATGGGATGGGGGAGGGATATGAGAAAATAGAAGCTTTCTAATTTCCATGAGTCCCAGCCTTCAGCCCGGGACTCAAATCATCCCTTTCCCTCTTGCTTGCAGACGCTCCACAGTGATCAGATTCAGGGACTGTTGCCCTCCTTGAAGCAAGTGAGTTAGAGTTTAGGCCCCAGATTAGCCTCTTTGTTCATAACCTCTGCATCCGTGCTCATGCAGTGAATTTCTAAGCGTAGGTTACCTCTGACTCCTGTTCTCTTTGCTTCTTCTCCCCAGAGAGAGAGCACTGCTAGAGGCAAACAAAGCATTGCAGATTTGGCTCATTAGAACTGGATGCTTTCAAACTTCAATCTGGTTTCTGCTGCTATTTGGCAGTCTTTTTAATTGTCTTTTCTGTACTCTCAGGCTCACTCCCCATGGGATCTATTTTAGACCTTTTCTCATTCTATGCCCCCGGTGCCAGCTGTCCCAGCCCTTTCTTGGCATATCATTTTTCCACCTATTCTATTAAAAACAATGTGGCACTTCAGTTTTACACGTTTCTTGACTCTATCTTTTTCTCATAGCTGTCTTTTCTTTCTTCCTTGGTGTGTGTGTGTGTGGGGGGGTGGGTATGATTTTTTTTGTTTGTTTTTTTGCTGAAATCATCTCTTTTATTGCTGGTCCGTATCTCATGCATTGTTGCTCATCACCCATGTCTCAAGCTCAACTCTTACCATTCTAACATCAAAACATCAAACTGACTTTTTTGTCTTTGCTCAGGCACTTTCAGGTCTTTATAGGAAAAACATCCCATTATTCGTTTCTTTATGTTCATAAGGCTTTTCCTTTAATTTGGAGACATCATATCGTTCCACATTCTTTTTGTTATTAGTTCTTTATGTGTCCTGAGTTCTCTTTGTCCTCCCCTGTTTAGATGCTCAGTTTCTTAATGAATTAAGTACTTACCATTCCACTCATCTCCAGTATGAAACTGCCCCACAGGTATACTCTTACAGTTCCCACTAATTTCGAGGCAACATGTCCTCTTAAGTGTTTACTGTTTTAATTTAGAATCACTGTGTACAAATTCCACGTGGTTCTCTTGCCCTCATGTTGCAACCACATGTGCAAAGTTGGTCTCAATTAAAGATTTCATTTTCTTCCAACACTACCACCTTTTTCTTTTCTGTCCAACTAATTTGTGATTGTAGCTGGACCATAAAGGGTATTTTAGTTAGCAGAAGCAACATTTTTGTCCTTGTGGGTACTTGCATTCTTGGGGAAGAAACAGAATAAAGTGCGTCATCTGGAGTGTTAGAAGTGATACATGGTGTGGGAGGAAAAAAAAGCAAGGCTAAAGAGTTGTATGGTACAGGGAGGTCAAGGAAGGCTAGAAGCAGAGAAGACAATAGAGCTCAAACATGCTGAGAAGGGCATATGCCTTAGACTGCAGCATTGAGGTAGAGGTGTCAACGATTGCGAGTGTTTCTAGGGCATACGTACCTAGCTGCT